GTAGTGTAATAACTGCCATTGCGATAATTAACGGAAATTATAATTTTATTCATAAAAATCGGGGTCGGTCACCCGGTTTTTTTCGATATCGATATTTATCCCACAGAGTAGGCGCCGAATTCAACTCATGATTGTTGAACCTTGACGGCATCATTATGTTTCTTTCGGTCAGACTAAACAAACGTATCCTGTTGATAAGTTATAATACTGGGAACGCAAAAAATGCAAGCTATGAGTTTGCATTTCAGCTTCGTGGACAGGAAGTTCGGCCATATCTGAATAGGTGGGTTCGAAAATTTATTTAAAATAAAAACTGACCAATGACTTCGAAGGAAGAAGATATAGGTCTTGAGTGGGAAAGGTTATGGAAAAATTCGGGAATAATAAACAAAGATCAGACCAATCAGGGGACGGTACAAGGGAGGAGTATTAGGAAACATTTTTCGGACTTGAGGATACTAGAGAGTCGGTTAATGGGCACGGTTGCGATCGGTCAGTTGGGGGAGTTGCGGAAGAGAGTTGCATGAAGTAGGTCGCGAAAGTAAATTTCTATAGAGAAGTTAGGAAAGTCAGTTGGGAAAAGATTCATTTGCGATCGATAGTTGATTTTGAAATAATTGTCTTATTGTTGTTGCGTCTTGGGGACGATATAAGAAGGGCAACAAATTACTTTACACCCCTTTCATATGTGTGATAGCGAGCAGTACGCACGGGTTTGAAGCCAGGCAATTTCAAATAATAATTTCAGAATTTCCTCAAAACTCGAATAGAGTAATTGTTTCTGTGTAAGTTGGAATTCTACCTTATGTTCCTTTTCGCGTCAGAAAGGATATCTTTTTCATGCATGATGGGGCTTCCGCCCATTTTAGTCAAGTAGCACGTCAGCATTTAACTGAAACATATGCAAATCAGTGGATAGGTCGAGAAGGACCACAGAACTGGCCCGTTCGAAATTTCAATATTATAACTTTTTCAGTGCTTGTAAAAAAATTGTTATACACATTTCATGTACCCCCTTTAAAGGGCTGTATCTTAACAAGGGATGCTTCAATGAAGTTTCTTTATGAGAAAGATCCTATCTTTTTTTAGATGAGGAATCACCTCTTTAAATGTTTTACACTTATTCAGTTACACCCTGTATAAGTATAAACAAAGCGTTTAAAAGTAATTGGCAGTAAAGTAAACCACATTTTTCTCAATGAATAAATTTCAAATTTAAAATTGTTTGGTAAATGTAGAAATTTAGAAAAGGCAATTGTTTTATAGTTATACTGGAAAAAATGAGTTGAATAGGTAACCTTCAAAACTCAAAAATTTGGAGAACGCAGTTCTCCAAATGGAAGAGTTCTTAAACAGTGAAGTTGGAGGTGTACTGTGTTGAAACTCAAAACGATGAGCAGCCACAGTCGTCGCATATTTCTAATATGCACCGCTCTTGGTGGAATCAAATGTGCCTAGTCACTTGAACACTTTCCTTGAAAATATCTATAGAAGAGAGACAAATCCCCAATATTTCTTCGATGGTTCAAACTATCAAGGTTGCAAGTGAAGTTCGTGTCTCAAATCAGTTGGATGGCTCTTTTCTGGATGGAATCCAGCAACTTCAGGGCATGTTTCGGGACGGAGCTTCATACATGAGAACAATACTTCAAAGAAGGGCTGATCTGAGCTCAATAAAGCATCGAAAGTTGCTGAGGTTTGTACAGTTTTCTGGTTTGGAATAGAGTGTTCCAAGCTTTTAAGAAGCAGTTTCTGATATTCCAGTGACATGATTATGCCAAGACATATTGGTGTCCTTTTATCCATCAACAAACTTAGTGAAGCAGAATCGTCTGTCCTGAAATCATTATATCCGGTTTGGGGACATTTAACTTTCTGGAGAAAACGATGATTGGGTTTTTGTGGCATTGAATTGAAAATGGTTACTTTGACACCAATTCGAAATCACTTCTATTTACTCATCAAGATATGCAACTTCCTGCTGCCGGTGGAGATATGCATCCCCAGCCGATATCCTGGAATCCAAATGAAATTACGAGACAAGTGTACTGTCGTCAGCAAAGCAATATATTGGATCATTGTATTTTTTTCAATAAGTCGTTAATATTCAATAAAAAGAGGATTAGAGACAATAAGGATCCTTGAGGAACACCAGCGTTGATAGTCAACGTATTCGAGAGATATTCTTTGATCGCCACTTGTAGGGAACGTTCTTCAAGGAAGCTGGAGAGCCATACACAAAAAAGATACGACAAAGTTTGGCCAGTAAACTGTTGATATACAAAAATATGGTTGGAGACAATATGAATCCCTGGGGAATACCAGCGGTGATGGTGAAAGTATTAGAGACATATCCATCGACGGCCACTTGCGGGGAACGTTCTTTCAGGAAGCCCAAGAGCCACATACAAAAACGATCCGACAAGTCATAGCACCGAAGTTTGACCAGCCAACCCTCATGCCACACACGGTCAAAGGCCTCAGAAATATCAAGCGCAACAGCTCTTGACTCTCCATGGTTTTGGATTGCGTTTTTCCAAATTTATGTGACATACGACAGAAGATCGCCTGTTGATCTTCTTTTTTGAATGCCATATTGATGATCGCTCAAGATCGCTCAAATATTCAGAGATATGATGGTTTACGACTGTCTCTATGATTTTTTTATATTACTGCTAGCAAAGATACTCACTTCATTTCGAATGACAATACCACTTTCGTTTTATCTGCACTTTGGGTAAACTGTCAACATTAGGTAGTTGATATTTTATACTGTTTTTTGGGTTCATAATCTTCCACAATCTTATTATGGAAGGTTATTACCTCAAAAAATAGTATAAAATATTGAGTCCTCTGCAAATAATGTAGTTTGAAGAATAAGTAGTTGATATTTATCGATATCCTCAAAAATCAAACCAACAAAGCTGCAAGAACACTGAGGCATGGGAGCAACATTAGGTTTTTCCATCATTATCATTTCAATGTGATAATTCTTGGCATGTTTAAAATTTGTTTAATTTCCCGATTTCAGGAGTCGCTCATGACATCGATCACAAATCCTTCAGGAGAACTCTTCTCCCATTGCAAAAAGTACGATAATGTCTCCGATCTTTGTCTTACGTTCAACGTTTAGGATATTTTCGATCTATTGTGCTGGTGGAGTCAATATCCCACCAATTTCTCGATCTCTAGAAAATTTGAGTCAGTTCGTCAGTAGTGAGTTAACGGTGAAAACTAGGGATTTGAACTGATGTTCACTCATAGTTTGGACTTTGGTACCGGTTTCCAGTTGAAGCAATATTTAGAAAATCTATTCAAGGGATTTATCTTTCACTATTGTAAGTACGGCAAACATTTTCTAGCTTTGCTATCCTTTTGTTTTTTTTTGAATCCATTTCATATGCCTTTGCAGTCTATGAATTAAATTGCGAGTATATTTTTCATCTATCTAGGAAGTATCCAGATCTGGAAACCCTCTGGAGAGATAGATTGATGGACGTAGCCATTACTACGTGGTAGGAGATCATCATGAAAAATTAGAATGCTCAATATTACACAACGCATTCTCGTTACCTTTATCTGCTAACAATCTGGAAAGGGAAATTCAAACAATTATACAGATACGACAGAATAATGGTTCCAACGCAGACACAATCCAGAACAAAGGCTCAAACTTACGTATGGATTAATGTATCCCCAGATCAAACTCATCAGAAATCAAGAAATTTGTAACATATTTTGGGGAAAGAATAGAGACCCGTGCGGGATTCTTCAGAAAAAATAATATGGAACTGGCATTTGGGCCACATATCAGGTTATCTTATTTTATTTTTGATGCCAAAGATGAAATGGATGAGGAAAATCTGGAGTGTATCAGCCTAAGTGTCCGGAGTATAATAATGTTCATTTTGAACAATGTGGCCGAAATTTCTCAAAACGATATGCTGAACATGAAAAGTCCTTCAGACCGGATAAAAATGATCTGATGTTTTCAAATCATTCCCTGGAATGCAACGACAAGTTCCCGAATCTTAACGATACGGAAATTTAGCACTAAGCAGACAATATTCGTAGGGGTGCGATATCTGGTTAACGGAAAAAACATATTTTAAACATTTTTTAATGGTGGTTATCGAGTCCATGGTTGTTATGGAGTTCATAAGCTCCATTTGAATTATGGAATCTAGATTTACTATAAATATCTAATGAGCACCTAATTAGTACTTCTCATACCCTTACTTATCGAGGAATGTACTGTAAGAACTCAGTCCATCAATAGTGATTTTCCATAATGCCCCATAGCCATTATGGAATCTAGGTTTACTATTATTCATCTAGTGAGCACGTAATTAGCACTTCATTTTAATCGTCTATGTATTAGTTGACGAGTATCTCAAGACTTTATTGCATATTGTTAATTTTTTTTTCTCAAAACAGGTATCTCGAATTTTGTTTTCCACTTTTTCGTGGTCGTTTTCATCTTAATTACTTGCAAGCTCCTAATTAGCACTTCATTACCACGGTCAGTTTATACCTGATAGAGCATTCGTCCTCGTTTTCGAGAGACCTGCTTCTTAGATCTGTTGTTTAGCGAAATTGAAATCTTTTGTTTATCAATTAAAAAATTGTACGCTCCTCACCATTTAGCACTTAATTTAGCACCTAATAGTGTTCCCTTAACATTCATTATCTCATTATAATTTTCATTGTGTTGCTAGCATCACATACTGCCAGCAACGCAATTTTGAGTATTGAGTTGCGGTGTAAGTTACAGAGACTTCGGTACCTAAAAAGCACCTAAAAAGTACCTAATTTTGGCATTTTCTAAATGCGATTTCCGTACTGCGTTGCTGGCGTAACAGAGCTCGCGAAATCGACTTCGGGAAGGTGGATTGATGAAAGGAGAAATACTTTCCAAACAGCTACTGTTATACGAACATAATTATTATTACTGTACTTTGGTAAAATATCATCTTTGGTGAATAGAGATAGTACTGGAATATTGTAATTCAACTTTTCAGTTTTTTATTTGTCAAATTAATCAAAAAATCACAATACCTATTCATTTTTATACCTTTTTATATGATTACAAATTTGATAAATTGGATGATTTCCGCAAAAAAAAATTAGTGTTCTTCAGCATGATTTCAGTTCAATTTTGTTTCTCTCGATAAATTTATTAAACTCTTTATGAGAGGTCTCAATGAGGTTAATTAGTTTTCCTCCGGCTGGAGTATCTTTTTCATTTCTGAGAACCTCTCGGGCTTGGATAAGACAATTTTGGCTTTCTTGTAAAAGCGATAACATAGACTTGACCTTTGTTTTGATGCCTAAATCCCATTTTCGCTTAATTACGAGCCAATTCGCCTGAAATAGTTCATGTAGAGTGACTCCGGTGTAGAGAGGTATCCTGGAAATGAAAGAAGAGAAATGAATATCTCAATTACACATTCAACATAGATAAAAATTTTATGCAGTAACTTCAAAACGACTTCCCCTCTGATCCTCTGGTCAACAAATGACTCTCAGGTTGATTTTTTCCGCCTACGAAAAATATGAATGCAGCGTTATTGGATTCAGAATAGCATGTTAATGATTCTAAAAAAATTCGCAAACATTGTATGAGTTATAAACAATTAGCTGAAAAAAAACTGGGTTCAATTTCTTGCAAGAATCTCAAAAACTTTTCGACATTTCTCAAGTTTGAAAAAAGATTCATTAAGAGGAGGAAATTTTCCAAGAAGGTAGTTGAGACCTTTAATGAAAAAATATTATTTCAACTCATCAACTATCAAAATTGAGAATTCCAAAAACTCAAGCACCTACTGGATAAATAAATGAAAAATAATCCGCGATCAGAAAAGTTTTATCGAGATTTCTCATTTGCATTAGTTGATCAACAAATTTTTTCTACTATCGTGACCACATCATATGAAAGGTATTTTGTCCCACTGATACTTCTGTGATTTTTTTCAAAATTGGTTCATTCGCTATCAAGAAATTTAATGTTGGACGTTTTATTTAAGAAAAAACTGAAAATTCGCTGTCTCTCATTTTATTGAGGAAATGAACAAAAATAATATCAATGGCAACACAATCAACGTATAAAGTGTTCAAAATCATCTCTATCTAGTTCCATACAATAATAAAGTCTACTTTCGAAAGCGTTCCTTACATTATTGAAGATGTCCGGATTCAGAAATCGGCATTCCCTAACAATTCTCTGTCGCAGGTCTTCTGTTTAACGTATTGGTATGTCACTTTGTGGTCTTTATAATTCGTATTATAAATGCATGCAGCAGCTCTAGCACATTCATTATTTCGATAATAGGACTCAACAATTTATATTATTTCTTCAGTAGAATGAACCATGTTGGACCACAGTGAACAAGGATGACTGAATAATAATTCGTGGAAAAGTGACAGTGGCCAACTATCTACTTTTTGTTCTGCGACAACTAGATTCAACAAAAACTACCAGTGCAGAAAAAACTAACAGTGTCGTCCATTTCAAAACGTTAACAACTGATTGAATGAATTCTACAAATCTAGAAGAACGCTTTCGAAAGTAGATTGTATTATTGTACGGAACCAGATGGAAGTCATTTTGAACAATTTATCCGTTGATTTTATTGCCATTGATATTACTATTGTTTCAACAAAAAAGTGGCTGAAGTAAAACTTGAAGATAGCAATATTTTCTGTGAAATGAAACAAGAATCAAATTTCCAGGATAGACAGTTTTCATTTTATGAGGAAAAAAACGGCAATTTTTATCAAAGCAATCGTTTGCATTTCAAATTTGATTTCGATTTCCAGATCTTATTTCCTAGACAAGTAGCAGATTTTAGGGGGGTTTCGATTTTCATATTACCTTGCATGTCCAGGATCTATTTTAGCATTCGTGTTCAGAATCTCTCTACACATCGTTGCCTTCCTCATGAGGCAATCATCAGTTATTTGACTTGGAGTGTATCCCTGCTGGTACCCATACAATTGAATCAAAGAGTGTTTCACAGCATAAATGTGATAGTGATTAGGATGTAGGAATGTTAGCATTTTGTTAAGAAGTGTTTCCAACTCCCTAACAGTAGGATTTGACAACTGGGTGTTATCAACCTCTTCACCGATACCATTAACCAAAAAACAAACTTCTGTGCTGGTGAGTTTGACATCACATTTATCACAAGACCACTCTGTATTGTCATCGGTTGGATTCAGTGGCAACTGGTTTCCCCCACATGGTTCCTCATTGGTCCCCAGACACTTCAAGGCACTCAGATAAGTATCGAGCTCAGTGGGGTCCACACAACGTTTACAATGGCAATCGAAATACTTGGTCTCTCGTAAGTGCTCTCTTCTCGCCTGAGTTCCCCACAAACAGTGAGTATACATAGTTGAAATATGTTCCCCAGATTGAATGGGAAGAGCTGCTTTGATTGTGATTTTATAACTGTTGTCAAAGTTGTAGGTTGTGTTTGGTAAACAGTTGTGTTCCATGAGATAGGCTGTTGGATACAGAGCTGTCACTTCGGCTTCTTGATTTATTTCCAAAGCATTCACGTCAATTATTCCGCAAATTTGGTGGATTGTACTTTTTGATACGTCTTTCAGAACTTGTCTACCAGATTTCCCTTCAAGAATTCTCATTGGGTCAAAGAAATTATTATGAAGGTAGTCAACGACACGATGTTCGATGTCCCTGAAAAACAGAAAAATTGTATAAAGAATTTGAATTCATGAAAAATAGGAAATGGCAAACTGGACAGTTCCTATTTCCAATGCATGTCCGTCCTCGTAGTTAACGCACATACCACTGAACATGTTTGCCATAGTAGCAGCCGAAACGTTTGGTACTATGAGTTTCAGTCTATCACGGCCTACCAGCACGGATTTTGTTTTCTCTAATCGTAACTCCTCTGGAGTTACGATCGTTCCAAATAAATCTTGATTTTAAAAAGAAATTCAACAGGTTTGTACAAGGTTTGTTCAAAACATAAGGTCAATGTTCAAATTTCCTGGGTTATGTACATGGGATTTGCGATTGGGTACATTTGTCTTAAACATATCTTCAGAGTTTCAGCTGTTTTCCATGTTTAGTTTGTTGGTGAGAGGAAAAAAAGTTAGACGAATTTTTTGTATTCGGCAGTTTGCTGCTATCGAAATAAGTTGATCAAAGAATTTGCATCAAATTTTGTGTGAAAAATGGAATCTATTGCTCAGAAACACTACAAATGTTGAAAGTGGCTTACAGCGCCCTGGACGCCCCAACACATCAACAACCGATGAAAAAATTGAGAAAGTGAAGAAAATTATTATGTAGATTCGTTGAATCATTATTAGAGAAGTTGCTGAGAATGTTGGCATATCAGTTGGCTCATGCCTGAGCATCGCACAGGAATTGTGGAATGACGTCAACGGTGATACAGATTTGCTCAAAAGGGTTACAACTGGTAACGAATAATGGATACATGGTTATGGCATCGAAAGTTCAATCGTTCCAATGAAAGAGCTCAGAAGAGCCAAGACCAAAAAAGCACGCCAAGTTCGGTCAAATGTCAGGATTTTTCTTACTATTCTCTAGTCGTAGTCGTAGTGCATCACTAGTCGTAGTGCATCAGGAGTTCTTGGCACTTGGTGATATGCTCAATAAGTTATGCACCGCTTGCTGAAGCAATACGAAGAAAACGTAAAGTATTGTGGAAAAGCAATTCATGACTTCCGCATCACGATAATACACCTGCTTACCAATCATTGCTCGTTCCTAATATTTTGGACGAAAACAACACCGTCATCATGCATTAGCCACCGTATTCACCAGATTTGTTCTCTTGTGACTTCTTCATCTTCCAAGATTGAAGAGACTCATGGAGACAAATACCGAATCGCTGAGAGAGCTCATGGACATACCAAAATGTGCATAATAGAATTGCTCGAGAATTGGAAAAAACGCACATGTGTATTCAAACTGCGAAAGACTACCTTGAAGGTGACCAAATAGGAATTGATGAATAAATAAATATTTTTTGAGGATAATGAAAAATCACCTTATTTGTTGAACATACCTGGTATATTTGAATAGTCGGTAGTCGGTCAGTCGGTAGCCAAGCGGTTCGGCGTGGGTGCTTTGTTCACTCACTCGAATTGATAGGACTCAACAATTTATATTATTTCTTCAGTAGAATGAACCATGTTGAAACACAGTGAACAAGNCCTTAGCTCGCACAAGTTTCGACTTCTGAGGGTTGTCGTTCGTAGGGGTGCGACAGCTGGTTAACGGAAAAACAGATTTTAAACAGATTTTTTTTAAACAGAAAATGATTCATTTATCTTCTGTAAAACACGAAACTATATTGAACTGATATTTAGAATTCAATTTTTTTATTCCCGATACCATTTTGTTTAGCATATAAAAACATTCCTGTCGAAAAACTTTGTTGTGTCTTACATTGTTCTTCAGTTAGTGTTCAGTCTTCAGGCTTGTCTGGCCATCAGTGGTGCCATCAGCACGACACCGTCAACGGCCATGGAAATTCTTCTAGATCTACTTCCTCTTCAGATTTTTCTGGAGAGAGAGGCTAGATGGACTGCATATACACTTGTCCACATTGCCAATTGCACAAATCAAAGCAAGAAGATTTATGGACTTCTAGCAGAATCTTCCAAGATTGGCTCACTTCAAGGCGTTTATTAAACTGCGAAAGACTACCTTGAAGGTGACAAAATAGAAATTGATGAATTATCACCTTATTTGTTGAACATACCTGATATATTTGAACAGAAAAGGATTCATTTATTTTCTGTAAAACAAGGAACTATAATTGAACTGATATTTAGAATTAAATTTTTTTATTCCCTATACCATTTTGTTCAGCATATAAAAACATTCATGTCGAAAAACTTTGTTGTGTCTCACATTGTTCTTCAGTCTTCAGGCTTGTCTGGCCATCAGTGGTGCCATCAGCACGACACCGTCAACGGCCATGGAAATTCTTCTAGGTCTACCTCCTCTTCAGATTTGTCTGGAGAGAGAGGCTAGATGGACTGCATATAGACTTGTCCACATTGCCAATTGCACAAATCAAAGCAAGAAGATTTATGGACTTCTAGCAGAATCTTCCAAGATTGGCTCACTTCAAGGCGTTTATTAACCTTTCAAAGCTTGATACCAAACAGTTATTGGATTTCAGTAGGGATGAACTACGATGTCTAACAGGCCTTCTTACAGGTCATTGTCATTTGAAACATCATATGCAGAGAGTCGAACTGTCGGACAGTGTTTGGAAAATGATGAAACAGCAGAGCACATCCTTTTTGCCTGCCCCACTGGGGACCGAATCAGATTTTTAGAGTTCGACAGAGCCGTACTCTTACCATTTGACATGAAAGTCCACTCACCATATAAACTAATCGGCTTCATTGAGAAGCTGGGTTTATTTGGTCGAGTGTTAGTAGGTGTGAGCCACAATAAACCTTCGCGGGTTGTGGTGGAGGGTCGGATAGACCCACTCACCTTGGACCTAACCTAACCTTACCTAGTCTTCAGTTTCACGTTTACTTGAAAAAATTTAAAATCTTTTCCAAAGCAAACCAAAACTATGACAAAATAGACTAAAAATAATTGTAACTTTTCTCATCAATTCAAGTACCTAACTACCATACTTGCTCATTCAGAAAGAGACAACTATTAGCAGACCTGTTTTGGTCCGCTAATGGTTGTCTCTTTCCAAAGTCAGATCAGTACAAACTACTTATAAACGAAGTGTATTGCTAGTCATCTATTTCGTAGAAACAAAAATACCTCGGAATTCAGTCTGAGTACTGCACAGGAGTTTTGTCAATAACATAAAATATCCTCCTTACTATTTGATAGTACTCAAATGTTAAAACTCTACATGGATTAAAATACTGCTGAATAATGTTTCATTCAGATTTGAATAATATCAAGCTAATACTCAGGTAATTTCTGGGAATGAAACTCCATCCACACGTATGCAAACAGAATTCAGCCCACCCAGGCATGATGAATCGATGATTGGATAGGTAAGATTGGATTTGAACGCATTAGAGACAAGTTATTACTAGTGGACTGTTGTTGTTGAAGTGTTGTTCTGCTATCGACAAAATAGATCAAGGACTTTGCATCAGATTTTATGTGAAAATAGAATTGAGTGCTCAAAATCACTTGAAATATGTTGACAGTGGCATACGGTAATTGTACTCTGAGTCAGAAAAATGTTAATATCTAGAATGGGATGTGAATAACGACGCTCCTCCTGGACGTCTCAGCACATCAACAACCGATGAAAATGTTGACAAAGTGAAAAAAATTGTTATGGAGAATCGTAGAATCACTATTAGAGGAGTAGCTGAGGATTGTTCGCGCCATATCGGTTGGCTAATGCCATGCAATTGTTTCGGAAATTTTTGGGGATGAAGCGTGTGGCAGAAAAGCATGAACATTGCTCAGGAATTATTGAATGACGTCAACGGCGATCCAGATTTGCTTATAAGGGACATAATTGGTGACGAATCATGGGTACACATAGTAAAGTAAAGTAAGTAAAGTAAAATAAGTAAAGTAAATTAACAGCAAGTGAGTTGTAAATCATGAGTAAAAACTTTTTATTATTCAGATTTCTGATTTGATAGAATTTATAAACTAACTTATTGAGTCTCTTAACTGTATTGTCACTGTGTTCCTCCCATCGCAGGTGTTGGTCGACATACACACCCAAATACTTCATGTTGTCAACTTTTTTAATGATTGGACATGAACACTGCATTGGGGGATAGTCATGAACAGTGAAAGTGTTATCAAAGGGTTGGTCTTTTTTGTTGTGATGAATGCAATGAAGTCAGTTTTCTCCACATTCAGACTCAGGAGGTTCACATCTAACCAAGAGAGTACGTATTTGAGCCCTGTTTCAGTTCTTTCATAGACTTCATCCCAGGAATTGCCTTCAAATGAAGTGCTGCGTGGTCTGAGTCATGGTTATGACATCGAAAACAAAGTCCAATCGACCCAATATAAGAGGTCAGGGAAGCCAAGATCAAAAAAAGTACGCGAAGTTCGATCAAATGTCAAGGTTTTGCTCACTGTTTTCTCCGATTACCGGGGCGTATTGGATTAGGAGTTATTGCCATATTGTTGTCCGTTTAATAAGGTGTAGCATCTTGAAATTATGAGCCGCTTGGAAGATACTAGTCACGGTATCGCTCGGTGAGATACCATCGCAACGGCTTAGGCAGCGTTAAGTTGCTTTTGGGTTAACGTTTCGGTGCTGTGCCGCTGTTTCTGATTTCAAGGGTGAAAATATAAGAAAAAATGCATGCAGGGCATCATCCTGCAGTTATTCGAAAACCATAATTTCTAATTATCCGCAGGGTCTTCCTAACATCAGAATACAGGGAGATATCATATAGACGGCAGTTGCTAACAGTCTCTCTAGCAACTTCTAAATCGATTCTGCAATATAAAAGGACTCAACTTGAATATAAAATCGATGAACCGAAATCTGCAATCAGATAGTTCTCATATTCTTACACTAACACAAACCAAAGTCAGTGCCTAAACAAACACCGTCAACAAACATAACTTTGGAATATATCTTTTTATCAGAAGTGATCTCTCCTGTCAACGAGAGGAAATGCTGGAACCCCGAAACTTTACTAAATCGATTCTGCAATATAAAAGGACTCAACTTGAATATAAAATCGATGCACCGAAATCTGCAATCAGATAGTTCTCATATTCTTACACTAACACAAACCAAAGTCAGTGCCTAAACAAACACCGTCAACAAACATAACTTTGGAATATATCTTTTTATCAGAAGTGATCTCTCCTGTCAACGAGAGGAAATGCTGGAACCCCGAAACTTTGATGTTATGTGCTTCAATATAGTATCACAGAATATCATTAAATTCATATGCTGCGTTTATCGACCATCTAGCGATACACAATATAGGACAGTATTCTCTTCACTTGCAAACGCCAATGACTTTCTGCAAATCAATCATTCCAGTGTCAAAATTTCCATATTCGGTCGACTTCAAAGTCCACAATATCGAATGGCTCAAATTTTCAAATATCAACGACGAACAAGGTCGCGAAGCTGAGGCTTATGCAATATGCAGCAGAGTTACTCGGATTATAAGTGAGCCAATCAGGATTCCTGACCTCGATGGAGTATATGCTAGTCTTCTGGATCTATATCTAACAACCAGTCCAGAAATGTACAGTCACCCGTAACAGCCTGGCCACGGGACACTCGCCGATGCGAATATTCGCGCGGTACGAACGGCGAAGCGTCTAGCGACTGAAACAAACGCCTAGGAATGTACTTATGAAGCCACGCGCAACGGCCACCGGCGAAGCGACCGGCGAAATGTACCGAGCGAATCGCGTGGGCTACTTGCGACGCGGCCGGCGCGCAAAACGAATGCATGAATCTGTACGGCGCGGGCCACGGAGTCGAGCGGTAGTCGCGGCGAATAGTGCAGTGATCAAACGAGTTTAGTTGTTTTCGCCTCGAAAAGTGAACATCGAGACTTTTATTGCTGAATAAAAGTCCGATTAAAAAGTAAGAGATTCATTATTCATTCTCCTGTCAAAAACAAGTTACAAGTTGTTTTTGTTTCAGTTGTACGAAAAATTACTGTCACATAATTTAGATTTTTGCAATAAATAACATAAATATCTGAAAGTGTTTTTATTTCATGAAATAATAATATTGAGGGTAACATTTAATCGGCTGATAATATTTTGGGCAAAGATAGTTAATGTCAAAAGCAATTTTTCAGCGGCACTTAAAATTCTATTCGCATCATCTTTTTTTCTCCAATTCTGGTTGAATATTCATAAGAATATAATCGAAGGTTTCAGTACTCATTCTGGCATACTCAAAACATTTTCCTGGATATAATTTGTATTTCTCGTACTTCTTGTGGAATTCTCCATCTATACCGCGTTAGGAATCACACGTTAAAAGACCTCGTTAATCCTTAGCTCGCACAAATTTCGACTTCTGAGGGTTGTCGTTTGTAGAGGTGCGACAGCTGGTTAACGGAAAAAACAGATTTTGAACAGATACCCCGAGTCTTACTCAAATCATGTACTCCACGATCTCTTCCAAATATTAGGTCTTGAACCAAAAAACTATTACTTTTTGAGCAATATCGAGATGTTTTCGATAAAGACATTTCGCTGTCGGACTATTGGTCGCGATGGCGAACGTGACTGCCCATGGCTGGCAAACGGTGTCGCGCGAATGGTCGCTTCGCTCCCCGCTTCGTCGTTCGCACCGCCGATCACCGTGGCCAAGCCGAAAGGTCTGTGTAAGGATCTTCTGATCACAAACTCATTTCAGTGTTGAGTCAATTACCGATAAATGTTGGGTAACAAGCTGAGCCGCACAAAGTTTGGCATTACAAATCAGCTGAATTGGAGAATATTCAAGACCATTTCTGAAATTTTCCCACACTAGATATTTGTTTTATCTCTGAAAATCCATCAACTTGTGCTTCTGAAGTCACGGAAGTTGATCTATCATCAATGGATACATATATTCCTTTTTCAATGAAAGTACCTTCTAACGACAAACCTTGGTTCAACAAAACTTGCGAGCAAGCTGTCGCCTCCAAAAATATCGTCTACCGGCAGTGGCGCAAAAATCCCAGTACCGAAAACCGAACTAGGTTTGTTTATGCTCGCAACAGCTGCGAATTTAGGATAAATGAAAGCAAAGAACTTCACAATCAGAGACTTGAAGATAAACTGCTTGCCAATCTCAACGGGTCTAGATCCTTCTGGTCGGAAGCTGTTAATCAGAACTTTACAGAATTCGCAATTCCACCACTAACACAAACGTGTGGTTCAATTGCAACAACACCCATAGAAAAAGCAAATCTACTAGCTGAACAATGTGCGTCCCGCTCCACAGTCGATTTTCAGGAAAAGGCACCAATTACTATTCCCACACCAGAATCCACAATGCCGGAAATTACTTCTCGACAGCGTCTAGTCAGGCAAATTTCGAAACAGCTCAATATCAACAAGGCGTCTGGCCCTAATGAAGTGCCCGTCATCGTACTCAAAAAGTGCGCAAAGGAACTCGCACCAGTATATTGCAGACTTTTCAACCTGTCTTACAAGGAAGGGGTTTTCCTTCTTGTTGGAAGATTGCTTGCGTTCAGCCTATTCCCAAAAAGGGCAAGAAAAATCTTCCAGATAAATACTGACCAGTCGCTTGGCTATCAGTGATATCAAAAATCATGAAGAAAGTCGTAAACCACCATATCGTCAAATATTTGGAAAGCTTCAACATCTTGAGCAATCATCAATATGGTTTTCGGAAACAAAGATCAACAGGCGACCTTCTATCGTACGTTACCCATATTTGGAATAACGCAATTGAAAAACATAAAGAATCAAGAGCTGTTGCGCTCGATATTTCTAAGGCCTTTGACCGTGTGTGGCATGAGGGTTGGCTGGTCAAACTTCAGTGCTATGACTTGTCGGGTCATTTTTGTGTATGGCTCTTCGGCTTCCTGAAAGAACGTTCCCCGCAAGTGGCCGTCGATGGATATGTCTCTAATACTTTCACCATCACCGCTGATGTTCCCCAAGGATTCATATTGTCTCCAACTATTTTTTGTATATCAACGACTTATTGGAAAAATCCAAGAATCCAGTACATTGCTTTGTTAACGACAGCACATTTGTCTCGTCATTCCATTTGGATTCCAGGACATCGGCTACGTAGGCACACTTCTACCGGCAGCAGGAGGTTGTATATCTTAATGGGGATCTAGAAATGACTTCGATTTGGAGTGAAAGTAACCAGGTTCAATTCAATGCTGCAACAACACAAGCATCAGTTTTCTCCAAGAAGATAAATGTCTCCGAACCGGATATAATGACTTCAGCTCAGACAATCCCGCTTTCTGCTTGGATAAGTTTGTTGGGGGGTTAAAATGGACACCAATATGTCTTGCCACAATTATGTTGCTGGAATTGCAAAGGCTGCTTCTCAAAAGCAACTTTTGATTCTTTATGAAGCTCGAATCAGTCCTTCTTGGGAGTATTGTTCTCATGTATGGAGCTCTGCCCCAAACATACCCTGAAGTTGCTGGATTCCATCCAGAAAAAAGCCCTTCGCCTGATTGGAGACGCGAACATCATGTGAAACCTTGATAGCCTGGAATATCGAAGAAAGGTTGTAGATTTGTATCTCTTCTATAGATACTGTAATGAATCTGAAGCCGGCCCTGACCGATATCTCAGCGAGTAAACGCATAACTCTTCGGGAATGCACTCGATAAGCCACCGTGAATAATCTAGGCCAGTGCCAAAATTCCTAGAGAGATCCGGAGCGTTCGTTGACGATATAAAAAGGCCGCTCTTCGTCCCGAGCAGTAGTCTGTACTTAGAAAGTGAATCGTGCGTTTAAAGAAAGAAATCTAAATGTGAAGATAAATTAAGCGTTAGTTGGTAAGAACCGAATCGCTGAGAGAGCTCGAGGACATACCAAAAAGTGAATATCAGAACTGTTTCGAGGATCGGAAAAAACGTTGGCACAACTGTATCATATCTGAGGGAGACTACTCTGGTGAGGTCATTATAGAAATTGGTGAATTAGTGAGTTTTTTTTTTGAGAAAATGAAAAGTTCACCTAATTTTTTGAACAGATGGCGTATTTATTGAAAAGTTCAAGAAATCACTCCCGTTTTCAGCAAAATTGTTCCCACAAAGTGAATCATGGAAAGAAATAACACACATAAAAATTAATTAACTAGAACTTACTTGTAGATCAGTGTATCTTCTCCCCTTTTATTCGAATGTGATTCCATATTCATTATTTGAGCGAACTTTTTCGGATGTCTGATTTGGAGTAGCAAGCACCTAAGTGTTAATAGAACGTCTTGTCTGTAAAAGTCATGGAGTCCATTAATCGCTCTAACATCCCTCAATCCTAAAAACATACACTCGTGTCCATGTTTTTCCATATCTTTCAAACCAGGACAATTAGGATCACAGACAGGAAAGTCGCATCCCTCACACCGGGGTGAATTTTCTCCAAGTATCAATCTGAAAAAAAAAGATCAATTTGAAATAAATGTATCGTTATGAACAAGATCTCCACAGAGGTCACTGTATAGTTTCTATCACTTTGAGACAGAACCAATCGATTGGATTCGCGAACAAAACAAATCGTTACCTCATCAATTATACTCTTTCCATCTGAGCAATGGACTGCTTCAAAACTTCATCATGCATACTGCATGTGATCTTACAGACAAGGCTGCTTTTGCACTAAGGAACGACCAAAATTTTATTTTATTTTTTTTTCAATAATATGCGGCAGGGTATAAATTCTTTTCAAGTGGAGTGTAGGGACAGAAATTAGCAGTTTTTTCAGCCATATCAGTATTTCACATTTCAAAAATGTACCCACCACTGGTGTTTAACCGTAACTGACCCACCCGACACTGTAACAATGAACTCCACCAGCCGATTGCAGTTAAATCTGATTGGCCAGCGTTGAAAGACTTGTTAATTTCACCCAATAGATCTCATTCATCTTCATTATTTGGAAGGATATAGTTTAAATACGTCAACGTCCTGAAACCAGTTTACTGAATACAACTCAAGGGCCAAATCTTGAAGAAGCAATGCTGGTGTGGCCTACTCAGCATAATTTATCAAGGTGGCTCTTACTCCAAGTACTCGAGTCCGTTGTATGAGTCAGAATGAATCCTTCTTAGATGAGAAGAGGATCAAGATTGGTTATGTTCAATTATGCTTCGGAATATTACATGTACTGTTACTGTATGCAGTAACCATACAAGTAGATAATTTGTGAGAATTTGTCATTTATTTCCGATATATTGAGTATATAATGAAAAAAATAACTGAGTTTATTATTTGTTGCGACTGGTTTCAGTTTATTAGACCATTTTCAAGTATCTGATACATCAAGCCAAGACAAGTACTCAAACATACACTGATGAGTACTTATGATGCACTGTTTGGAACCTTTGGTGTAGTAATGAATATTACTAGAGTTTTTTCCCAACACCAAATCGTTATTTTTAACACCTCGACACGTGTTTCGATCACCAAGTGATCATCTTCAAAGAGGAAGATGATCACTTGTAATATATAAGGACAGGCACCTGTATCAAGTACCTACCTGAAAAAAAATGTTACCAGAATTATCAATACCGCTACTACAACCCGTGGGTTGGGCTACCATGTGGCGGATAGGAGAACGGCTAGGGGACTGGAGGCCCTGTCCGGGAAGCCAATGTGGCCTTGCGGACGGGGTCGCCGGACTCCTAGTCAGTGGCAAAAATAAGAAGGGTGAGGGGAACTAAAACCCCTCAAAAGCCTTTGCGAAACATGCCACCGTGGACCAGCCTACCCAAGCTAAGGTGTAAGGAATCGTGCCGACAGCTGTATAGCAGCAGGGTCATATGTGATTAAGAACGATCCCCTTGGGGAACCGAGCGAAACCTCATTGTAATCAGCCTACCTCTGGTAATGCGGGGCTCTGCCAGAGGTGACCAACTCATCTCTTGGTACTCGTGGGAACACACATGAATGAAACAACAGAAACCAATCCCGAGGCTGGACAGAAGTGTCCACCTCAATCTAAGGCGGTGGCTGGGGAAGAAGAGAAATATCCACCCAATCTACCGCTTGGAATGAGGCTGGACATAGCAGATCACGTCCAACAGCAAGGGGACTTCCTGCGGCGGGCGCCAAGAGCTCCGCCTTGAATAAAGGCAAGGAACCATATGCCCCTAGAGGAAAGCACTCTCACTTGTGCACCTCCACGGAGGGAACCACAAGAAGGTTGAAGAAGCCGCGCAACGACAGTAATATCGCTGCATCTTCCAAAACCTTGGAGGAAGGCAACAGTGATTTCATCGTAGCTTTTGGCTATCTGCATAAAATTCAATTGTCCCTGTCAATGCTCAATTCAGAAATGATTGATGAAGATCAGGAATACACCAGGTCCTGGAATAGAGCCTTGTAGTTCACCGCAGGTTTTTCTTTTATGTGCTGTTATGATTGTCAGTATGTACATAGAATGTTCATATTTCGCGGGCTATGTGCATTTGATCAGCGTTTTTTTATGTTGGTACATTTGTCTCAAACATACGTTCACAGTTTCTGTTATTCAGGATGTTCAGTTTATTGTCGAGAGGCATGAAAGTTAGGAGTGTTTTGCGTGTTCGGCGATTTTCTGCTATCGAAAAAAAAGATCAAAGAATGTGCATCAAATTGTGTGTGAAAAATGAAAAAGAGTGTTCAAAAATACCTGAAATGTTAACAGTGGCACACCACGATGATTATACTCTGAGTCGGACAACTGTTTATGAGTGGTACAAGAGTTTCACAGGAGGTCGAGAAGATGAGAATGATGACGCTTGCCCTGGAAGCCCTAGTACATCAACAGCTGATGGTAATGTTGAGAAAATGGAAAAATTGTTATGAAGAATCGTCTAATCAATATAAGAGAAGCTGCTTAAAATGTCAGCATATTGGTTGGTTGGCGATTTATATTTGTTCACAATGGTCATAACTGGTGACAAATCATAAATATATTATGGTAATGACATCGAAATCAGAGACCAATCGTCCCAATGGAAGAGCCTAAGAGAGCCAAAACCAAAAAAGACGCCAAGTTCGATCTAATGTCAAAGTTTAACTCACTGTTTCCTTCAATTACCATGGCGTAATGCATCAGAAGTTCTCGCCACATGATTGTACGCTCAATAAGGAGTATTATATAGAAGTTATACGCCGCTTGTGAGAAGCAATATGAAGAAAACGTCCGGTATTCAACATTGCTTGTTCGTAATTTTTTTGCCAAAAACTATACCGTTACATGCCTTGGCCAACATATTCACCAGAATTGCCCCCCTGCGACTATTTTCCTGTTCCTAAGATTGAAAAGACCCATGAAGAGAGAGCGTTTTGCAATGATTGGAAAGGTATAAATCGAATCGCTGAGGCAGCTAAAGGACAGCTCAGGGAAAAAGTATTTCACCTTATTTTTTTGAACAAAAACCATACGTATTGTTTCCCGTTGTACAAATGAATTTAGAGTCATTCAGCAATAGTTGAAAATGTCTCATGGAGATCCAAACACAAGCGATAACACTTTCATTACTATCGTTTTGGCTCAGTGTCTCGAGATTCTCAGAACGGTGACGAAAATTTTCAATTTTCATTCTTTCAGGGATTTCAAATCAATTTATTTCATATTAGACAATGGAAGTTCGAACCAATAAAACGATTTTCACTGCTTATTATGCATATTGCATTGGATTATTTTTCTCCAGATGGGAATGTCTAAACTGACTACTATTTTGATCATTCCCATATTGATTTCAATTTAAGAGCTACCGGTAGACAGCTGTTTCAGCCTATTGGGTATCGTCAGTACCGGGCAAGCGGTCCTCGATTGAAGACAAAATGTGAATAACCAAGAAAAGTACTTGATAAAATAACTGTGTTTTCCGATGACATTCCAGGATAGCTTTCCAAATTTCTGCTACCGCAGTTGTCAGTTGATTGGTCAAACCATCAACAATGACATAAAAACTTGGCAAGTTGACTTGGGTGTCACACCTATAGGTGGTTTCACTTATGTCTCGCTTGCGTTTACGCAGTACTTTTCTTGGTTATTCACATTTTGTCTTCAATCGAGGACCGTCCCCTCCCGTTATAGAAGGCCCCGACACTCTGTCGAATGAGGCCCCTATATCTTCCGTTGAAAGATGAACAACGTTTACATCCAACTCACCCCAGCCAGGCAGGGGTACACCGTGAAGGACGGTACTGATGTACCGTCCTTCACGGACCATACCAAAACACCCACCTCAGTCATGACCCGTTTGTCCTTCTGGCAAACATCAGTTCAAAGGGCAAGGGAGCCAGGCTCCAACCTGAATAAAATCAAGATGAATTTCGCAATCGAGGACCGCTTGACCGGTACTGACGATGCCCAATAGGCTAAAACAGCTGTCTATTGGTGGCTCTTAAACCCCGACACTCTGTCGTATGAGGCCCCTATATCCTCCGATGAAAGATGAACAAAGTTTTCATCCAATTCACCCCATCCAGGCAGGGGTACATCGTAAAGGGCGGTACTGATGTCTGAGGACATTCATGCCGCCATACCATTTGACACCCATATCAGTTATGACCCGTTTGTCTTTCTGGCAAACATCAGTTAAAAGGGGAAGGGAGCCAGGCTTCAACCTGAATAAAATCAAGATGAATTTCGCAATCGAGGACCGCTTGACCGGTACTGACGATGCCCAATAGGCTTAAACAGCTGTCTATTGGTGGCTCTTGAATTGAAATCAATATGGAAATGATCAAAATAGTACTTATCTACTTTTCTTTCAGATAATTCATCGCCACTGCATTCATCATATTTTTTTTTAAATTGATGTGACAATTACATAATAGATTCATATATTTTCAAAATACGTTTTAAATCTTCCTATTATTTATTTATCATTTTCAAATGCCAAATGTTTATATATTTTTCAGAATACCATCGAATGTATTCCAGTATTCATTCATCAGATAAATTAAACGGTAATATTATATACCTGCAACAACCTGGGCAAGGAACGGGTCCTTCTTCAACCATGTGAGGCCGTGGACCATACACAATTGGAAGCTCTGATAAAATTACATCGCCTGCCTTTAAATCCCTTGTCGCAACCAAACACTTTCCAAGGACAGGATCTTCTTTAATCTGAAATAAAATACACTTCTGTCAAGACAAGTATGTTATTGTATTAACTTTTGCTGAAATAGGGCATCAAGCAGGTCATGTACGATTTCTCTGAAAGAAATCGAGGAAAAAATATACAGAAATGTATAAAAAAGAAATATTTTGAAATCAAATTCGAAACACCTGCCTGCCGACAACGATAACTTTTCCAGCTGATATCATGATGAATATTGAGTTATACCTAAGTTATCTCACAGACGATTGTCTTGGATATAATTTTTGTTCGTATAGTAGCAGGTTCCCGCTGAAATTGATCGTGAAGATCACCTGCAGACTGGTTTTGAATTTTTTTAGTTGATACCATGTCACCTACATCAATGAATCCTTCAAGCCTCTTATTGAGGGTGCACAGCAATTAACTGTTCAACCAAAAATTATGCGCTGGCAAACATGTAACACAAAAATTGAAGAACAATTAAAATTCTCCGAATATGTAAAAAATACAAAGGAACCATTAAAAAAGGTCAATTTTGTATGCACCAAGACCGATATATGTATCATCTAAGAGAAGCTACCTAGGTTTAAGTAACTGCTCATCCCAACTGTCAACTATGAACTTCCTTATGAAGTACTATTCCCGAGTAGAGAGGACTGGATCCTCCGAGAAAAGGAAATATTAGGAGCAGATAGTTGTTGGTTCATAGATGGATCAAAAACACCTTCAGGTCCTGGTGTAGGTGTTTTCAGTGGCAGACCCAGGACAGAGATATCAACATGCCTAGGAACCAATGCGACTGTATTTCAAGTAGAAATTTACGCTATTGAATTGAGTGCGGAAAGATTGGAACAATTCAACCTAATACACAAATCAATAAAAATATTTTCATACAGTCAAGCCGGGTTGAAAGCTCTTGGCTCTTACCGAATAACGTCTAAATTGGTAGCAATTTGCTAAAAACGACTCTCTTCGTGAGGAGACTTAAAAGATTGTCTCTGGTCTGGATTCCTGGCCATACTGACCTGAAAGGCAATGAGGTTGTTGACTCCCTTGCAAAGGAGGGTGCTGCAAGTAGCTTCATCTGACCAGAACCTGTATTGGCATCGTTTTAGGCTTTACCAAACAAAGATTGAAACGGCAAGAAGATTTATGGACTTCTAGCAGAATTTACCAGGATCCGCTCACTCCAAAGCGTTTATTCACCCTTCGAAGATTGATATCAAGGAGTTGATGGACTATAGTAAGGATGAACTACGATGTCTGAAAAGCCTTCTCACTGGTCACCGTCATTTGAATCATAATATGCAGAGCCTCTGACTGTCGGAAGACAGTGTATGTCGCCTTTGTTTGGAAAATAATAAAACAGCAGAGCACATACTTTGTGCCTGCCCTGCTGGGAACCGAATCAGGTTTTCAGAGCCGTACTTTCACCATCTGACCTGAAAGACCACTCACTATACAAACTGATCGGCTTCGTCAAGATTCTAGGTTCATTTGGTCAAGTATGAATAGGTGTGAGCCAGAATAAACCCTTGCAGGTCGAATAAACCCACTCACCCTGGACCTAACCTAACCCAACCTAACCTAACTACTCATTGGATTGATTGTGATACATTTGATTGAAAAAGCGTAAGTTTGTCTTTCAGGAGGTTTGAGAGAACACATAGTTATGATAAAGTAGCAGAGCAGAGATTCATTCTGAATTTGACTTGAAAAATTGAAGATAAAATATTGAAGACTATTTCAGTGATGGATCAAATATGGTCAGAGTTTTCAATATATATGAACTAGATTTAGAAACAGAAATAAGTGAAAGAGATTAAGGTCTCATTTCAAAATATTAAAGTTAGGCATGTTATTTGAATTGAAAGGGTTATATTTTTAGGAGTGATTCATTTTTGGGAAAGAAAGTTTTGGCTTACTACTGCTCCATCTTGATACAAAAAAAGGATGAGAGAATCTTCCAAAG